TAGGCGGGCATATTTTCCGGCATGCTCTGGTCCCCCCGGTCTCTCGAGATCGAGTCAGTCCCTCGGCCCGCCCGCCGGGGGGAGGGGGGGTTCCTGCCCCGAATGCGTGTGGGCACTCCCTCGCCCGCCCCCGGGAGGGGGGTGGGTGCAGGACTGCGCGCCGGTTCTCCCTCCCTCTCGGACACTCCTTTTTGTGGTATTTCTTTAGCCTTCTGCCTAGAGGCTACTGCGGGAGCGGGGGGGTGGCGGCGAAACGGGACGTTGGATAGTCGCTAGGTCCGGATTGCCGGAGACGCACAGCCGGGCCATCGGGGCGCGGGCGGCGGAGGGGGGGGGGGGCGTTCTTCTGGCCCGTTCGGCGGATGCCTTTGTTTTGGCCGGCCCACGCCTGGAGGCCTGATCGGATCGGATGGCCGTTCCGCCGGCCCGGCCCCGGGTGCGGCCGGAGGGCGTGGGGCCCAGGCTCAAGGGTTCTCTTGGCCGGGCTCTCGTGCGGCGGCGCCGGTCCCGGGGGCCGTGAGCCGCCGCCAAAGGGGGCTCTCGATCCGCGCTAGATGGCAGTGCGGGGGGGAGCAGGCCCGCGGCCGGTGCCCGGAGTGCTCTCGGGCGAGAACGCCCACCCGCCGTCCGGCCTGCTCTTGAGGAGAGGCGAATATTTATCGTTACTCGCCCGGTGTGTTTCTCCCTTCCAGGCCCTCCTCCTGCCTCGCTCGCTGCCGTCAAACCGGCCGATCCCGGCGGCATGCCCATTGATGTGTGCTGACGGTGCTGTCGACGGGCGGCGACGCCCGGGCGGTCCTCGCGCGAAGCACATCACCCCGCCCCCCCGCCGGTCGCCGATCGAGCCGCCCACCTTGGAGCAAGTAGCAGCTGCAACCCATCGCAACTTCCTTGGGTGCCGCCGTGTCGCTCAAGCCGCCGCGCCCTGCGCGCCCCCTCCCTCCCCCCCCCCCCCCCCCCCCCCCCCCCCCCCCCCCCCCCCCCCCCCCGGCTCGCGAAAAGGCAGAGCACGCGCGCTCTCTCCCACACACACGCCGGCGCCCTGGCAGGCAGAGAGCGCCATTTTAGCGCTCCCAACGCGGGAGTTCCCCCCCCCCCCAGGATTAGGGTGGAGGCGCGAGAGGGGGAGGGGGGGGGGGGGGGGGGGGGGGGGGGGGGGGGGGGGGGGGGAAGGCCGCGCGCCCCCTCCCTCCCCCTCTCGACGGGGGACACAAACGGAAAAGAGGAGGGCAAAAGGGCGTCCCGCCGGAGGTGGCGCGCGCGGACTCAGCAGTTGCGCAGGGACAGGACCGAGCGGACATCGGAGCAGAAGCGCAGCGCATCCAGGAAGGGCAACAGGTCCATGAGGGACCGGTCGCTCGGGTCGCTGGTCCAGGTGTCGATGGGGATGGCATTGTCTGTGGGGCCATGGGGCGCGAGGTGCGTGCGTGCGTGCGTGCGTGCGTGCGTGCGTGCGTGCATATGGGCGCGAGGGGGTTAGGATGGCAGGCCGGGGCTTGGCGCGGGCGGAGGGGGGGGGGGGGGGGGGGGAAGCAGGGGCCAAAAGCCGGGGCAAGGGGAAAAGTGGCCCGCCGAGCAGAGGGCAGCGCGCCGGGCCGGGCGCCACACGCACCGGGCACCACGCTGTACGTCACCGGGGAGTTGTCCACCAGGGCCACCTGGCCCATGTCCGGACGGATGAAGCCCAGCTGCTTGACAAAGCTCCCGTCGAAGTAGGTGCAGTGCTCGCGGAAGTACCGCCGGCTGATGAGGGTCCGGTCGCGGTCCAGCCAGTCGATCACCGGGTCGGCGTACAGCGACACCGAGGCCGTGAAGATGACCACCTCGTACCACTGGGACACGGCCTCCAGGAAGGCCCGGGCATAGGGGCGCGTCCGGACATAGAACAGGCTCTCGGCCCCGGGCGAGGGGGGCCCGGAGGAGGAGGAGGAGGAGCCGGCGGCGGCGGCGGCGGCGGCGGCGGCGGCAGCAGCAGCGAGCGCGCCCGCGCTGGCCCCCTGCTGCGACTGCCCCGCACCGGCGGGCGGCCGGGTGGCGGGGCCGCCGGCGCCGGGCCCCGGCGGCGGGGCCAGCATCAGCAGGCAGTGGTCGATGGCGCTGGCGGCGGCCCGGTGCCGGGCCGCGGACAGGCGCCGCAGCAGTGACGCACGGCCGGCCGCAGGGGGCAGACCCCCGGGCCCGGGGGCCATGCTGCCGGGCCCGGCGCCCGGGCCGGGGGCCCAGCCGCCGGCGCCGGGCCCGACGGCCGAGGTGACCAGCCCCCCGCCGGGGCCCCCGGCCGCGGCCGGCGCACACCCGGCCGCATACAGCATCGGCAGGCCCAGCCCCTCGGCCAGGCCCAGCGGGATGAGGGTCGAGTGGACCAGCGTCTCGTCCAGGTCCAGCACAAGGGTCTTGCGACGGGCGCCGGACACCAGGCACAGGGACCGGGGGCAGGGCAGCCAGGGGGCCGGGCTCGCGGGGGCCGGGGCGCCGGCCAGGCTGGCCGCCTTCGCCGGCATGCCAGCCGCCACGGCCCCCAGGCCCGACCGGCGCCCGGCCCCGGACACCAGCCGGGTCACCTCCACCGGGATCGGGGCCTGGCCGGAGAAGGAGCACAGCCACCCGAGCAGCAGGCCGCCCAGGCAGGCCAGCCACTCGAGCCCGGGGCCGACGGCCAGCCGCGCACCCGGCGCCGTGGCCGGCTTGGCCCGGTCGACGGTCAGCCCGGCCAGCCGGTGGTGGTCGCCGGTCGCCGCTGCCAGGAAGACCGACAGCAGCCCGGCCAGCAGGGCCCTCAGGCCGACCGGCCCGCCGGCCCGGCCGTCCGAGGCGTGTCCATCGCCGCCGGCCCGGCCGGCCGTGCGCGGGTCCATCGGCGTGATGGGCGAGGTGGGGGTCCGCGCGGCCGGTGGCCCGGGCTCCGGGCCGGGGGCCCAGGGCCACTCGGCCGTGCAGTGGACCGGGACCAGGGGCGCCGGCAGGCTCGGCCCGCGGGCGTGGGGGGCGTCCTCCGGGCCGCCGGTCGCGCCGGCCGCCTGCTCCGGCACCGGCTGCTGCTGCTGCTGCTGCTGGTGGTGCGGCGTCGGCGACGGCAGGGGGGAGGTGGTGGTCACCACCGACAGGCCCGGGCGCCGGGGCGGGGCCGGGCCTCCGAAGCCGGCCGGGCGCGGCCGGCCACGGCCCGGGGCCGGCGGCGCGGCCAAGCCGTCGCGCGTGGTGCGGAGTGTCGGCCCGGCGCCGGCGCCCACCGTGGCCGACAGGAGGGTGGCCATGCGCGCGGAGGCGGCGGCCGCGGCCCCGGCGCCCGGGTCACCGGTGTCCATGCGCGCCGGGGCGGTGGCGCCCAGGGCCCCCGGGCGGCCGCCCAGGCCGAAGGTGGTGGCCGGGGCCAGGTCGCCGGCGTGCGACAGGGCCACGAGCGTCTGGGTCATGGTACGGCGGCGGGGGGGGAGGGGCAGGGGAGGCACGAAGGGACCGAGTGCCGGGGTCCGTGGGTGTCTTTGCGATGCCGGGGGGCCGGGCGTGGTGGCATGAAGGAGCTGGGTAGTATGTGCGGGCGTGGTCGTGGTGCGTGGCGTGCGCGCGTGCGTGCCGGCTGGAGATTGTTTCGTCGGCTCGGCCTGGGGCTGGGGCTGGGGCTGGGG